GAGAAGGAAAGACTCGGGCTGCGGTTGCCGCGAAGGAAGTATCTGTATTCTTGCTCGGTATTCGATGCGACGGACCTTTTCAATAGCTGAATAATTGGATCGCCGCGAACTCGATTCGACAGAAAAGACGAGCTCCTTTTTCGTCAGCAAAACGCCACCTACAATTGGTTCGCTCTAATTGAGTCAAGTTTATTCCTTGGAATAAGTCTAGTTTATTTGCGATCCACTTTCGACGACAAATACGTACGTCGTTCATAGGGAAAGAGTTAATATTCTCACGGTTCGTCCGCTGGGACAAAGAAAGTTGGAAGGCGAGACAAAGTTCTCCTGTTGCTCGGTTCTCACGGGAAAGCACCTGCCCGAGAAATAATAATCCCACGGGAGTTTCGGAAGAAACGAGACTTCTGAAAGAATAGGGGACGGTGGTGGATTAAAATCCAGCAGAGTCAACTCAATTACCTCGACGTTTCTCGAACCGTACGTAAACGATGGTTATTTTCTATAAGTGTACTAATTTTAGACATTTTTCCGTCATTCGTAACAGGCAACGTCACAAGTGGACAGGTGTTAATTTATACCTGGTACATGATTAAGCAGTCGCCAGCTACTCTCGCAGCTGACAGAGATGAACCATTCAATCAGCCCCTTATTCCTCTGTCTAACGACCTCGCGACGCTTCCGCTTTTCAAATCTCGGAATAATTGACTTGCCGCTCGAAACGCTATCGACGTTTCTCTTATGGTGAAATACGACGATAGACCGGTCGTTTATCCATCTTTCTTTCGCGGTGAAAGCAGCAGCGCGAATCGCTATATTTCCGCGCTTTCATCGCCTCGATCCGCATTTAATGGCGTTGAAATATTTGAAAAAAAATTCAATATTCTTCATAAAGAATAGTAAGGAACAAAGGTTGCTGCACAGATTTAGTTATCGTCCTTAAGGATCGTCGACTGTGGCAGAGAGGTTGGATAGAATCCTTCTAGACGAGGAACCGAACGAAAGGAGATGTCCTTTGGGACGACGCGAGCTATCCTGATTCGAGCTTTGATCTCTTCTTCGGTATCCAAAGAGAATCGATTCGTGCGAAAGATTCGTTTTTTTTCCCCAGTCGATCGCGTAACGGGCAGCACACGCCATCCTGGAAAGCGAACTCGGCCTTTGATCTTATTGAATCCTCGCGAAAAAGAGATCAGAGATTACCGCGTTCGATTGGTCAGAAGCCTCGTTACTCGATGCATAGGATTACGTATTGAAATGAAATGCATATCAAAATGCAATTTTATACAAGTTTCTCACGAAAGCCTTGATTCACGCTGGTCTCGCGCTTTTTAATTACCCGCCCCCCCGCTTTTGTAATCAGCCTCTCGCTGGTGGTTCGCTTTATGCGTTTCATCGAACGATATTCGATACATTCTCAATTGCCTCGCATCTCATTGCAGCCCGGTTAACGGGTTATCCTCGTTTCGGGCATAATTATAAGTCTGCGGTCGCGCTCGTAAATCCTCGGCCAACGAGCGAGAAAGTGCAGACAACTATCATCGTCCTCCACCACCTCGACGTCGTCGTTGTTTTACCTGCAATTTCTCTTGAGCTTTGTTAATTGTGTTGTATTAACCCTTTCGACCTAACAAATAATACCCGTATTTCTAAGGTAAATATAATATTTTATTTCCTACGAATTATTAGAAGTTTCTCGTACAAAATGGAAATTTCATCGGATGGAAATCGATGTGCGGAGGGTTGCTGTGTCACGTTATCGATTCTCGATGCTGCTGCTTTGGACAGGTTAACGAGTCGCTTATTTGACTCGCTACCGGCTACGGGAATCGCGAGCATAAGCTGGAATTAAAATCCTGCATCGAATACCGTGTGCCTTGAAGGTATTAGAGGAGTTAGACGTTTCCATAGTCCGGATGTGAAAATCTGTTTGGAATAAAATAGAAAGGAAAAGGAAATTGCAGGAAGAGTAAAAGGTGGTGCGACAGCGCGGCTTGGTGGACAGGATACACGCCGATTACGTAGGGACTCGGTGGTACGGATCGATTGCACGCCGAGCAATCTTCCACTTTTCTGTTCGTAGAAACGATTAGAGGGGAAAAACGAGCCGCTGATACCGCTCCACGACCACGTACCACATTTCCACGACATTGCTCCCTGCGTGTACCGAGGTCCCGCCGTTGTCGCGTCGCGTCATGTCGCTCTTCTAAGAAAGTTCATCGCTACTAAACTCCGCCGATCGATCCAACCTTCGGTTTGTCTCTTGCGCGGGTCGTCAACGTTTTCCTTTACTCTTGTAGAAGAGGGGAGAAAAAAGCGTTTCGTCTCGGGATGAGACACGTCTGTCAGACACGTCAGATACCCTATCATACCGCAGTTTGGACTGCATGCCGGGCGACCGCTTGCGAGAACACTGTCACCCGATCGTCTCGCCGCCATCTAGCGGTCCCCGGACTGAACTAAAGGCGTCCGGGGAGACGAAACCTTCTCTCTCCCTCCACTAAACGTCTACACTCTTGACACTTGACCGGCTTGACTAGTAACGCGTTATAATCGCGTTAGAATACAACGTACCGAAACTAATAGAATGATTGAAACTTTCCTCAGGTTACTCTCCGTTTCTCTCGTATTCCTGGTATTTCTGTAGAGCACTCACGTTACAATTGCTTTAGAAGCAAGTGGATGCGATTAAGACTCGTTCCGCAGAGTTCGTAGCAACTTTTCCCGGAATTCTGTCTTTTCCTTGCCATTAGAATTTTACCAGCATTGTCGTCGTTAATTCGATCGCCTACGCTAGAGTATAATAGCCGCTTTTCCACGACGTGATATTTTCGCGAAAAAAAAGGTTTCCGAGTCGGTCACGCGTCGATTCCGAGAAGGGATTTCAACGCGCACGTTTGCCCTTCTTTTCTCGAAATTGAAAAGGCGGCACGATTCAATTTTCTCCGACTCGTTTCGTGGCTCCGAGGATATTTTCGCGGCTCACCGGTACCGGAAGTCCTTTGTTTCACGCGGTGTGTACCTAGCGTGCAACGCCGGGAGAAAGCCAGAAATTCTAAGATACGTGCCGGGAATCGGAATCGATGGCTGCTTCGAAATAATAGAGCGCGAAAGAGGCGACAGTTCCTTCCGCGTCACTTGAAAGAAAAAAAAATAAAAAGGAAGAAAAATGAGGGAATTAAAGGGTTCCTAACGGGGGAACGATTGTCGACCATGGTTGTTCACGGTTCACGATTTTAATAACTCTCGTTCCAAGCTAACCGAATGAAATTTCCATGCCGCGTCGATCCACCGACGCCCTTCGTTCCCCACGAGATCAATAGCGGCAACGGGAAATTATTCCACGACGCTTCGAGAAACCGTTTTCATGGAAAATGGGACAGGTGGGACGCGATAGGAAAAAAGTGGAAAATCAAATCAATGCGATTTCGTTCCCCTCTCTCTCTAACCAACGACGCGACCTGAACAAAATTATTCGATTCTCAATCGCGATCTAGAACAACCGGCGATTGTGGTATACCTACTTTTACCGGAGGGGTCAAAATGACTTGTTTTTCAAATTAATAAGTCATTATGTTTCTTATGGTAATTTTGTACAATGTAGATGTACGAAAATATATTTAGTTTTCTAAAAATGTAGGTATTTGAACTATACAAAAATAATATGAGAAACTTCAACAATGTTCAGTGGGGGTCAAATATGACTCATCTCGCTATATGGAGGAATATAATATTTAACATCAGAAAGACAAAAAAGAAATAGAAAACTGTTTTACAGAATTAGTTATTTGCATATTTTAGAAAAAGTCAAACAAAATGTAGTGAAAATGAATAATGTTCGCTGTTTAAGACAATGTCGTACGCGTTAACCGCGTCACTAGCTAGGAATTTTCTCGCGAATCTTTCGCCAACGTAAGCTGCCTTTCTGATAACCGATAACCGATAACCAACGACGAAATTGCTCGCGTATACTTCTGGGAATCTGTAGGACCGAGAGTACCTACGTATATCTGCAGGGATTGCTTTCCAATCGATATTTTCCGCTCGACCGCTCGAGGAACCTTGGTGGGTCGATGTTACGTTCCTTTTGGGATGAATCGTTGGGTTAATTTTCCTGGAAAGCTTCGTTGACGCGAACTCTGCGATAACTGATGACGCAACGCCGCGCTGTTCCTGGAAATATAACAACCGAATGGGCTCGTGTCAAGCCAGAAAATTGATTCGTCCAACGAGCGTGGGCAGAGGGAACTTGTTTATTTCATCGGGGAAAGTTTAGTTTCCTTGAAAAAGAATATTACGTGACGATTGGCGCATCTAAAAAAATCGACGTAGCAAATTTACGATATTACAGAGACATGATTTTCGCTAGGGTATCGGTGAAATTACACGGCGCGGCGCGTCGTGCAAGTGCCGATGGAAATGCTCCCGACGATCGATCGGGCCCCGTCGTTATCGCCACGATTTACGCTCTGATTATGGAAATGATCGAGTACTCGATCTCCAAGTACGCGAAACGATGTCCTTCTTCGACGTTCGCCAGTTTGCAACACGTTTCTCGCGTTCCCTTGGCTACCTGTCCCACGGGAACGCCTCGTATCCGGCACGTGTAATTTCGATTCGCAATTTCGCCTCGCTTACCGCAAAAACGAGCAGCCAGCAAGTCATCCAGCTAGAAGAAATCGCTGTTCGGAGCGTGTAGTTTCGCGATGCAGCGCGAAAAGCCGTGACCAGAAACGGATAGGGTTTAATCGTTTCCTCTGAAAGCGGGCCGCTTCGATTTCCGAGCACGCGATACGCTTGCGAGATTCAAAACCGTGCCGAGCCGTGTTTTGTTCGATGCAATTTCGAACGAATAGGAGCATCGAAAAGTCGAGTCGAGTCTAAAGGTATTTTTTATGATTTAGCGAAATGCCGGCTACCTTGGTCGAATCGTACGATTGAGAGAAAGGTCGTTCTCTATCTTGGAACGGCGATTAATAACGTTGTCGCGTTTGTTGTTGCAGGTACAAGGACAACAGGGCTTATCCTTGGCCAGGTGGCGAGAGTCACTTCATCCTGTATCCAGAGAGCGCGAATCAGACGATTTACACGCAAAAGGTGAGAGCATCGGACGCGGGACGATATTCCTGTCGAGCAAGGAACGACACGACCATCCTCGAAGGAGATATCACCCTGGTCGTGCTTGGTAAGTGTCTCCGTTCTATTACCAACCTGTACACAGTGTCCCAGTTTCAGTGGTCCGAAAACAAGCGGGGCGATAGAGGACATCATTTTCGTCAAAAAAGGTCCTATAATAATGTGGCTATCAAACACCAAAACAGATTGTTTTCCATTTGCTAGAAAAGTTTATGAGATATCTCTTTATTTTGAATAATTACTGACTTTGGTGTTTGGTCTTTAATTTTAAAAGAATCGTTATGAAAGAAAATGTCTTCGCGAAAAGCGTGTTTTCTATTAGAAAAATTCAATGTAAAATTTTGATAATCTTACTATAATACAAACGGATTTTGTTGCAAAAGGTAGGAAATAATGAGCAAATCATTAAAATTGAAATAACTTTTGAACCATCAAAAATGTTCTTTATCACCTACTTGCTTTTGGACCACTGAAACTGGAACATCCTGTATATCGATACCATGCTCATTGAAAATACAGGGAATTTCTTTGCGTATTCTCTGTATCGGGACAGAAAACAAGGGGAGAAATAGACGATTTACCAGGTACCATTTATTCCAGCTTTCACGAATTCGGATTCGGATTCGGATTCGTTAGCGATCGCTTTTCAATCGACGCGACGCGGGGAAAAACAGCAGAGAAAAGAGAGAATCGAGTGCAGAGAAGAGTATACCGTGCAAATGAATCGAGATCTCTCGACACGGATACGAGACAGGAGATCGAATCGTCGAGCAAACACTTGATCTCTCTCCGTTCTGACGTTCCTTTTAATAATGTAAAACTCGTCGTTTTCAGTTCCCTCCGTTCCACGTCGAGGTTCGATTTACAGGTTTATTGCAGACGCTGGAATAATCGTTTTTATTCCATTCGTGTATTATTAAAATTTCACACGATTCCTGAAGACTCTAATTTAATTTAGATTTTACAGTGGGTAATCAAATTATTACAGCCACGGTATGAATTATTTTTTTTTTTTTTGTTCGATTTTTCCGAAAATTTACGAGAGAAAATGGGAGAGAATCGTTCAAACATCGTATATCCTCTCGCATGCTATAACTCGCAGACGCGGACGATCGCCGTTCGAAACGAGCGGCCTCGAACTTCGTCGACGATTCGTTTGCACAGACTTTTAGCCCGCGTTTATCCCGTGGATCGATCCGGGCAACGAAAATTGGCTCGAAAATTCTCTCTCTCTCGATTATTTAGCTACGTTGCTCGACGATCGCCTTTCCATTCTCGTTCAGCAGCAACGATTCTAGGGATGATTTAGGAGGGAAGCGAGCAAACTCGATCGATGCGTCATGTTTAGGGTTGCTGATAGGTATGTACCTACTTAGCTGGTAGGTGGTAGATTCTAGGAGGCGTAAATCGATTGGCTTTTTTTCTTGGAAATTAAACGGAAGGGAATGGATAGAGAGTGGCAAATAGTTATCGGTACGGATGCGCGTTGCGAATCGGAGATAACTTGGCGTAGAACGTAGAAGCGTATCTCGTCGCTTTATTTTCGTGGAACCTCTCGATTAGACGCCTTTTCCCCGTAATCAATTTCTCCTTGTTCAACGATTAACCCTTCGGGCAACGGTTTTTCATCGAATCCTCTGCTTTCGGAGACGAAACGCGTGGTAAATCGAGCACGAAACGGGGAATAATAGGTCTAGCAAGATCTAATTTGCGTTGGCAAATGGCTTCGGCTTTGAATCTCTATTCTTTCTTATCCCTGGCTGTTTCGCGCTCGCTGATCGAAGCGGATTAGCCGTCGCGTCGCGACGCGTCGATCGACAATAATTTTCCACGGAACAACCGAACGGACGAGACGAAATTAATTTGCTAACCGAGTAACCCTCTTGAAAGTCGATTCGAGCAAATATGTATACGAGGGGCTGGAGCGACACGGAGGGTGAGTTACGAGCCAATAGCTGAGGGCTAAGTGCACGGCCAGAGCGGTTGTATGGCCCGTACATTAAGTAAATGCGTATCAGCTCGTAGCGAGTGAGGCTGCGAGCGATCATGTTCCCGGTAATGCAATTAGCCGCTGCATCTCTGCTTGGCCCAACTCTGCCCCGCACCTATCTTCCTCTCCGTTTCGCGTTTTACGATTCGATACAAACGGCAAACGCATAAAGTCAACCGCTAACCGCTAACTTTGATTACCTTAATTATCCCCGTCGTTCCTAAAGATAAGTAGAAAGTTTGGTTTATCGAATGACAATTCGTCGATTTTATCTTATTTTATAATAATTATAATAATAATAATTTTTCGGACGCATCAAATTCCGTTTTATTTGTATGTCAAGGGGTTAATTTCCCTTTATATGTTTTTGCTTGGCTTATAAAACATCCCTCAGGCGACCGAAATTGCAATGACCAAAATTACCTCTGTACCTCTTAGGAATACACATCGGAAGAGCTAAGTTCGGTTATTCCAATTTCGGTGAGGTTGTATTTAGATCATGACCAAATACAATTTATATAATGTGATAAGGAGTACCATAAGCGTATTATCAATTTTTCGATGAACTGTCAATTCGGGGAATTGTCCGTTCGATGAATTGGCATTCGACGAATTGACTGGATACCAGAAAGTTTACTTATCACAAAGAAACTAAAAACAGATTCTACCCGTAGAATCGAGAATTATCTGGTAAGAAGTGAAAAGTCTGTGAAAGGTAAACCCACCACCCCCCCATTGAAATTCGTAATCCCGGGATAAGAAAGGTAACGCTATCAGTGAGCCGGATGGATTCTCTCGGAAGCAGAAGAAGCGATTTTCTCCGAGATTAATGGAAATCTTAAGCCCGTGGAAAAGCGCGAGCGTGACGGCCGAGTGTCACGAGGGGAAATAAAATGGAGAAAGGAGCATGGTTTTCGAGTTATTACCTCGCGAACCGAGACCCACTGTCTCCTCCGCCCTTGCTTCTAGTTCCGTGTTCATCGATTTCCCTTCGCGAACGTAGAAAGGGAAGAGGAGCAAAGAGAAGTACAAGTATTTGAATAAAGCTACCCACGCGCGATTCCAAGAAGCCCTGTTAAAACCGCGAAAGGAATCGTGTGCCCTTTCTTCGCCACCGGTAACCGGAATTCTTGGAAGTCTTTCTCGAGAACTTGGTCTTGGCTCTGCTCCGTTCAGCTTTTGCTCCAAGCTACGCAGGGGATACTGCATTTCGTGCATTTCCTCGCGAAACCGTTGAAATTTTGCTCGATCTCGTTCGAGGCGACAGAACGGTACTTCGGTTAATTTCGACGTTAAACGACTGCGATTGTAACCGACAACAGTAGCAGGAACCGTTGAATATCTGTCATGGAAACGTTCTTGAAAGACTTCCAATTCCTCTTGTTTCTCTGCTTACAATCCGGAGAGGAATCCTCGGCGTAGTTGCCTGAAAGAACGAGAGAAACGTCGATAGGAACGCGTTTCATCCCCGTCGCCGTATCCGGGGATTCGTTTTCGAAGCGAGTTTTCCACCGCGACAACGGAAGGAAAGTCTCTTCACGGTTGATCGGAAAGTTTCCTCGGTCCTTCCGTTTAACGACCCCCCTCGAACGTCCAACGAAAGAACGAATGATCAAACTTGCCAGCAATAAAACCGTTTCGCAATTCGCGTTCTTGTCGTTCAGCAGAGAAGAATAGTTTAAAAACGGACTAACGGCGCCTGCTGACCAGCCTCAAGATGTTGCTCGATGCGTTATGCACGATGCAACGTGGCGCGTCGCGATGCACGCGTGTCTCGAGTCAAAGAACAGGCTGGTATTTCCTTCAAAGTTATTCAACTTCGAGGCGTTGCTCGTCGTCGCATCGGAATACGTGGAATTAATGTACGCATTAGCACGTACGAGCGAAAAATTTCGATCTTTCCGCAACGTACCAAAGGCTTATCGTGGAAAGTCAAAAGAGGTAATTACATATTGTGGGATTTGACACGATGGTAAGGTGGAAACGAATTCTGGCTCGATTGGAATTTGGCGAAGATTGTATTTGCGGCTGGATTATGGATAACTAAACTACAACGAAATTACCTAATAGAGAATGTCCACTATCCTACATTATCATTAAGAGAAAATGGACACTGTGTCCTTTGCTGTCGGTTGCAAACAGAGCCTGTAGACGACGTTTACCCCCGTGGATCAATTCCATGGCTCGACACGAGACAAGGTGCATCTACACTCGCGTATGTATACGAGGTGCACACGCATCCTGTGCGACACGTGACACGATTCGACGCGATTCTACCCGAATACCCGCATGTATGTATACACAGCTGCATTTGCCACTGTCAAACGATGCATCGAGGATATTAACCGTGCCGCGCCGCGACGAGTAGAGTCGAAAATGGAGATTGTGTGTTTCGAACGCGATACAATCTACCTTTGTAATATGAAGATTTATTTGTTTATCAAACGTATCGGTAGCGGGCTTAGCGTCGGAGAAGGAAGAAAAGAGGACATTCGGTGGTTCGCGGGGATAATTTGCGGCCGCCCACGAGGAAAATGAGATTTCGTAATTACTCGAACGCGGTAGGACACCCGGGTGTTTTAAGGGGCACAGAGGCGAAGAATGAATCGCACGGGAAATGAAAATCGCTTTAATAACGCCACTCTCGTCTAACTGTAATTCAGCCATTAGGAGTTGTTCGCGTTTCCATGAAATACTTTCTGCGCGTTTGTTCCGGCTAGATACAAAAGCTCCTCTCTATCTCCGTCTATATAGATCGCGGTCTGCGAAAACGGGTAAAAGGACGTATGTACGTACGTGAAACAGTCGCGGTAGTTGGAAGAAAGTTTCGTCTCGTTAGCCTACAAATTTTACCGTTCGAAAGCTACGGAAAGTTTGGAAACTGCATTCGTCGAGATTTCTCGATGGCTTCAGAGGGAACGTGAAAAAAATCTTGGAAAAGATTTGTAGAGATTTTGTATCTCCGCAGTGTGTAGAAAACGATATCGATTGGACAGGTTCGCAGGAGGTGGAATTGGCTATCGAGTAGTGACCCTCCGTAACCCAAATGAAATCCCACCCACTCTTCCATTGAATTACCTCGTCCGTCAACTTGCTGCCAATTTCCTGCTACGTTATTTTTCGCTGTTAGAAATTTTATTTCATATCAAAATTAATATTTTCAACCATTTTAGAAACATGATTTATTCGATCGAATTATCGATATGGGTGTGACTGGTTTTAAGAGAGTGGGATTGAAGGAGAAGTGAAATCGATAAAACAACCGGTACTATCCTGCAGAGGTTGTCAAATATTTTACGAGGTGTTGGCCGTATGCTTTTAGGAGAGAAGTCCGGCGGATATACGGGTAAACCACTGCCGACGTACAAGCCAACATCGCAATTGGTTCCCCTGGGAGGTGCAGCGAGATTGTTTTGCGAAGCTTACCTGGGAAAGGTCGAGCTTCCGGATGCGAAAAATTCGGTGACCTGGTCGAAAAGCGACAGCAACGCGACCTTACCGAGTCAAGGGAGGATCGCCCAGCACAGAGTGTCCAGGTGAGTTATAAATTCTATTTTTATTTCGAAAGAAAACCTTGAAAATACGGAACAGGAAGTTCGAGATGGTAGAAGAGTCGGTCGAGGTTTTGCTGAAGATCGAACGCGAAAGCGTACCGTGTACGATATCGAACCGTTAATTAAGGGACATGCTCGACAGGGGCGTATCGGAAGTTCTCTTTGATCCTAGTCTCGCATATATCCTGCTTACGGAAGTCACGTGGGAGCCGTGAAATTCCTGTTCGTGAAACGCTTGATAGGAGCTTAGTGAAATACCCACGGTGTTTACCACCGGATGCGGAGGTCCTAGGGTTATCTTGAAAAGATCCGCTTCGTGGCTGACATACTGGAGCGCGAAAGAAAACAAAACAACCCGAGTTTTAATTTACGGAACACGTAAATTCCGATTTCTCTCTTATTGTTAGACTTAACATGGGTATCGGTTTCTGTCGACCATTCCTCGAGAACACCATCGATCTCTGATTTTATTCCATATAAACACTCACAGTGACCACTGTGATCGGCTTGCAAACAATGGTCAAAATTGATAATCTAGATTTTCAATTAAAAAGTCACAATCCCGATCAGTCGTTTAACTTCAGTCGTATAGACCCCGGGCAAGTTTCGACCGTTCTGTAACTCATTGTACCGAAGATTTTCACTTGAAACATTTTGGAAGTCAATTCAAAATTCCTGAGGTATTAAATTTATATGGAGATCTGAGAAAAGTTCTGATAGTTTAAAAATTGGAGAAAGACCACTTTTTCATTCAAAAATTCATAACATTTTCAATTTTAATTACATTTGGCTGAAATTTTATTTTTATCATCTAGAGACATATTTTGAGAAAAAAATCTCTGAAATTGATGTTGGGGTCTTTCAGACCCCCTAGTGAGTGGAGCATTGCTCCAATAAATTTTATCTTACGATCACTTGAGAATTTCGTAGGTAGAAGCCCTGATTGTACGTATAAACTCTAAAGGGCAATGGAAATTAATTTTGTAAAGTATTGTTCGCGTATGGAACAAAGTTTAGCTGGTGTATAATCGGCTGCAGACACCCTTTGTTGTCCGTGGTTTCCGCGAATGCAAATGCTTTCGCATTCAAGCATGTGTCTCGCGGGTAAATTTCGAAATTGTGCTGCAAACCTGTCTTCCAATTAGTGACCACATCCACGCTTCTAGGGTAATGCTTGTAGCCGGCCCGAATATAATGAGACCCTGCAATACAGTTTTACGTTCCCAACGTTTCCGTATCGATTTCGGAACGATCTAATTCTCTGCAATTTACCCTGCGCTTTTGTCTTCTGCTAACGATGAGCTTTGTTTAGGAAAACAGAAAGGGTGTTTGTTTCAAATCAAAGATGTGTGCGAGTACTCGTAATTTACGAGACGAGCTGAACTCGCTTCGATTGTTCGAGCCGAGTCGAGCGCTTCAATTTTGCCGAATTACTCGAAATCGACGAACTGTTTGAAACGAAAGCGAGCTATTCGAAAAAATCAAACTACTCGAATATTCGATTTACTTGAAGATCAATTTTCAGCTCGAATATTCGAGTAGCTCGCTTTTGTTTCAAACAGTTGGTCGATTTCGAGTAGCTTCGGCAAATTCAAGCGCTTGGACTCGGCTCGACCGACCGATCATTGTTTCACTCGAAATTCGAGTACTCGAATAAAATCAAAGGATTTTTATTTTTCGTTTTGTTACGTATCGTGGAACAAGCTGTACGCGTCTAGGCAGATCGATATGATAGATAGATGACGGAATTTCAAGGTAAAATGTACGGTGTTGTTTGAAGAGCGCGATGCGCCGCGCCGCGGCAGAAGACCGTAGAGATGTAACCTCGACGGAGAGGAGTCGTCAGGGTCGACGAGCGCGATTGCAGGTCCACGTGATTAGCCTTTTTGCCGCGGCCCTTCCCACCGCTGGGCATTATGGACGTAATAACGCCGGGACAAACTCGACGGAGTCCAGCTGGGGCAAGAACGAGGACGAAATCGGGTTCTTTCATGGAAGAAAGAAGAAAGAGCGAGAGAAAGGAAGTGCGGTGGTAGGCAAGAAATTCCAAGGAATCCTCTTCGTCCCTCCCTCTTTCGCTGCTCTTCTTCTAGCGGAGCTCCGTCATTACGGTAATGATACCTTGCTCTCTTACCTCGCTAAGAATCGCCCTCTTTTTCGCGTGCGCTCCGCTCCACCGTCGCGTCGGTACCCTCGATCTCGATCTCGATCACGCTCGAAACTCGACCACCGCACGACTGGACGAGCGGACGAGCGGACGTAACAGAAGGAAACAGAAAAATGCGACACGATAATTGTTCGTTTGTCCGTCCGCGAACGCTTCTTGCGAAGCCGTCCAGCTTGGTCCACCTGCGGATTAATTCGAGTGACTCGGCTACGCGAGCTTTCCAGTTAGTAATGCGATATAGACAGACAGAGCAAGGAGGGAAAGGAAATTGACTTTGTTCATGGACGATTCGGTGCACTCGATCGATCGAGTGTTACCTTGCGGCAGGATGGCTTCCATCTGCCAATCACGACTGATTTCGATGCAGCCCCGTTCGATTGCTGTTCCGTTTTCACGGTGAAATTAGAGAAGACACGGTACATAACTTGTTATAAAAAAGAAACTAAACCCATGGTCTGAATTAACTACCAAAAACCGATTAAAATTGGTTTCAGAGCTGGATGTTTAACTATAACCTGTAAGAAATAAAAATAAAAAAATGTGACAACCGTACCCGGTCTCCCCTAATTCGCAACGAAAATGTTTCACCGATGTAGAATCCGAAGTCATAGACAGGTCGAAGGAACGGCCAGTGGAATCGCGTCGAGGTACATACACGCAACGATTCCAGGGTCCAATTAAATGCAAGGGCAGGCTGGTCGGTGTCGATAAGAGGGCAAGAGCGTCCCTCGAGGAGGAAAGAAAAGTCGTGAGGTCAAGCCGGGTAGTCGGAAGAGAGGAAGAACCGGGTCGCGAGAAGAACGGAATGAAATGGAAGAAGATGAAGAAGAAGAAGAAGAAGAAGAAGAAGGGTCACGGGTCTCTGTCCGGTCTCTCTTGGCCGGTTCTCCTTTTGTCTCTCGTTTTGTCGTCGAGCCTTCTCGATCATCGTGGCGAGATAGCGAGCTTGAACTCGACCGGCTATGGGTGGTCCCATCCAGGCTTCTCATATTCTAAGCTTCGCCGCTCCTTGCTCAGGATTAAACGAGATCATCGATAGACGAAGAACCGCTTCGCTCTTCGTCAACCTCCAATTTATATTCAATTCCCTTTTAATCGAGCTTCCATTATGCTCGAGAAGATCGGGTTAATCCCCTACCTTATAACATCAAATCCAACTCCTGTCACTGATTACGATTCGAACCTAGCTAAATATAGGTGATGCTTTCTTGATTAATTGGCTCGCGATTAAAATTACTCTGGTGATTGAAAACGAGAAATCGGTTCGTCCTTTTTATCGGGATAAACAGTGGTCTAGTAAGATCTTTTAGAAGCCGGAAATTCGCTGATTCGACCACTGAATCGAAAAAACACACCAAAAAATGTAACTCTTGATTTAAACTCTTGAAAAATAATGAAACTTTGAGAATTACGATTCTTGTTTAAAGCAATTTCATCGCGTCTTCGTAGGAAGTAGTAATTCCCGTCGAAATGGTAATGTCTTAGAGAAACGATTAAGCTTCATTTCTGTTGGCTGGTGCAGCTGGGTGGCGGATTGATGGACGGGCGGGATTAGCAGGTGCAACGAACAGATTCCGACGGATTGATGGCGATTCGGTCCCGTAGATCCTAAGCGACCGGTTACTCACCGACTAATAGAGACGAATTACCCTCGGCCTACTAGCTCCGCGCCATTCACGCGGATCTATTAACGTTGATTGCGTTCGAATGCAAATTCGCGTTGCTCGCTCGTGGATCTCGACTAGTCGAGACCACTCGAGGCACTCTTGCCCCTTTCTGTCGGCTTTAATTGTGCCCCGATGAACAGAAAAGCAGAGAACCGTGTAACTCTCGTTTCGTCATCCAATTAGCGAAATCAAAATCAAACTTCTTCGTAGAAAGACTCTTCCTCCGCTGACACCTGTCGTTGTTATCATTCCAAGCTGTCGCGCGTATTTTCGAATAGCTGCTTGTAACACGGAAATAACTGAAACTGTTCGCAAGGTATTGAAAAAGTCCGTTGAACTTTGCACGAGTATAAATGATAAAAAATACAAAACGATCGTGGCGAGGAACGGTGTTCCGAAGAAGTAGCTACATATAGGAAGAAAGTTGTTGAAAGACTCACCGTTTACCTTATGAAAAGGTTGAAGAAACGGACCGAGAAGAAATAAGGTGAAAGGGAGAAGAAGAAGAAGAAAAATGATGGTTGAAATATCGAAAAAAGAGCAGAGGAAACAAAGGAAACAGGAAAAGGGAGGCGGGTCATCAGTGTTAGAGGGTAGCAAAAACTGTGCAGGATAAAAACGATATTCGATCAAGTTTCGGGGTCGTCGAAGCCCGGGACATCGATGAATTCGATGCAATTACCAGAGGTTGACCCACTTCTCCGCGAAGCATTGTAATTGTAATCCCGTCGGCGATAAACGTGGAAAATGTTTGAATACCGCAATGAAGTTCAGAGAGGAATAACGAGCCACAGTCTGCGAATAAAGTTGCTTCGTGTTTAGAAGCCGTCGGAGATCAAGATTAATATCGAACTAATCATCGAAAAAAAATAAATAAATAAAACTGAAATACGAGGCAGATTTCGCCAAAACCGCTCGTATCGTGCTAATCTTTTTTCATACCCCTAATAGCTTCGGATTAATGAATATTTTTGCAAACAGTCCCGGGCCAAATACAAACCATCAAAGTTTCCAGGTTCTAATGAAAATGAAACGAGCTCGTTTCCGCTAAGTGAAATTTCTCTAATGTCTAACACGGGACGGTTGGTTGAATTGGCAGAGTAAAAGGGAAGGGAAAGGATACACCACCCTCGAGTTTGGTGACAGTGAAAAACAGTTGGAGCACGACCGGTTAAATTTCCCGCGTAATCCGTTTAATTCCCTGCGACTTGGCGAATTAATCGGCACGTTGGAACCGGAATTAATATTAATGGGCCTGTAACTTAATTCCGAGCCGTCCCGCTCGAATAATGCAGTCCCCGGAGTAAGAGAAAGGAGACATCGAGTTATCCAACGATCGATGAGTACCCTGAGAACATTTAAACTGCATCTGAAACGAACGGATCGGTTTTTCTTCTTTTTGAATCGCCACGTTCCCCGAGTTTGCCCCGTAAAATACTATCCCTGGAGCGTTGGAACGGTATCGCTGGAAGAAACTTCGTTTCTCAACCGCATCGCTATCAGTGTGAAGCGAGGTATGCGCATCGCGTTCAAAGGCAAACCCTTGCGGATCGAAGCCGCGGTTTGATAAAAGGGTTAAAAAATCGACATTTCTGTGGAAAGCTCCTTTTCAATTTCACCGGTATAAGTTGGTTGGCAGGGAAAGTTCATTGAATAGAGTTTTAGGAAACTGCAGTGGGTGCAGTCAGCCTTCTTTTGTTCGATGTCGTTGCATTGTTCAGGGGCGTACGCTGTGTAATACGGTCGGATATCGATAGTCTTATCGAGCATTGCCCGCCGGTTTCTCTACTTCTTTTAATTGTGATCGAACGAACCTCGAAAGAGGGTGGGCCGGTGAAAGTTTGCCGGCCGGAGAATGATGAAAATTTCGCGAGAGAAAATAAACGTCCAGAGAGGAAAATTGAAAGGGAACAAAAGGGCGGAGAAAGAAGGAAGTGTTCCACGAGAGAGAGATGGATCTAGTAATTGGAAAATGGAAATAGAAAGGGTGTAGCGACGCAAACAGGGGATAACGAGAAATATTCTCTTCTTTCTTGTTTCAAATTCCACGCCGCGATGAGGACGGAACTTCGACGATCCGTCGAACAAATTTTGCGGAAGAGAAACGAACGAAAGTAACGGATACTTGCCGCGAGAATCGAGGCGATGAAATGGAATCGAGCCGAGGGGGACATCGCAAAACGCAACGATAGCCCAGTGACAAACTGATTAATTAACATTTGACCATTCCGCTAATTCGATTCCGCGATCAATAGAAGCGGATTCGCGAAACGGCCAGCGTGCAATTTACTCGATTAAATTAGCGTATTATCGTCTGTTTCCATCGATTCCGGCATGTGGTCGGATTTCGGACGCAACGCGGCTGGAATTCGTAGGCACGGAGTGTTGTTCCGTCAACGCCTGTTACATCCAGACAAACGGTCTAACGATTTTCCCGTTCAACGCGAACGTTATTCGCCGATTTTCCAGCGATTTAACGAATCAAAGCGCGAGAATCCGTTCGTAATGGTTTCGGTGAAAAGTTTCGATTCAACGAAATGAGTCGTCGAGGGAACACGAACGGCAACGAGACCGTGAATACGTGCTCGATGCACTCGGTGAAACGTAGAGAAATCGCAGCGCAGACACTTAATCCTGTCTGACCCGTGCCTACGCACGCGAAACTGTCTCCTCGTTGGGAAACTTAATCTGTCCTGATTCAGCTGGCTGGAATTTGACGAACGAGTCCCGTCTGCCGCCGCCGGGACAACCGGCACTGTCATCGCGGATTACAATGTGCCGTTTAATTATTTCAGCCTGTCCCTTTTAGTCCTCCTTTCGTCCTCCTTTCGTTCCGCTCCTGCCTGACAGGAAATTACGTCACGCGTTTTCTCATCTAACCCGTGTTTCAGTTTCATCCCCGATCTGAAGAAAATCCGAGATGGTTCATATCGCCCATTTATAATTAATACGAAAGGGTATAGCAGGATAAGATGGTCAAAAGTGCCCTTGAGCCGATTTTATTCGGCATTAACTAAGGAAAGTATGGCAAAAACCACTTTTTCTTTCTCACCCTGTAACTACCCTCCCGGTAGAGATACAGGGTTGAAACATGGTGTGCAATGGTTTTTTATTATAAGCTATCTTATCCTGCTATACTCTTTGCTAACCGTACAGGGATCTTAATTAATCGCTACTTCGAGAAGTCTAAATAGAAATTCCTATGGAACATTTCAATGTAACCGGTAACTTTCGTTGGGAAATGCCGAACGAAATTAGTATCGCGAACAGGCAACCGTGGAAAGTTACAGGTTGCAAGCCAAGTCGAAAGTCGATCCTGATCCTCGACGCAATCGTATTCTTCCGCTCGAGTTAATTAATTTTCCCTGGAGAACGGAGTTTGCTAACCCTTGATTCGATTCGAAAGGAGCCGGAGGGAAGCTGAGGGTGAACGATTTAACCGGGTTTCGAATACATATCTCGCGTCGCAGAGCCGCGAATTTCCAGCGCGATGTGACGCTTCCATGTAAATAATCGAGCGAATGCAGCCGGAAACGGAAGTCGTTGGACGCGTTCCAAGAAATCCCGAACCTTTAACAAAACTCGGCTGACAGAGTAAATTTCGTCGGTTGAACAATGCGCGTAGCCGATGCACCTGCATCTCGGCTGAATTATTGATTTCGTTCCGGATACGTGTGCGGCGTTGGAAAAATCCCAGAAAATCCTTAGCGAAACAAGGTGACACGGTTGAAAATAACTGGGTCGCTCCTGAAACCGGTGGATTCTTCGTGAAATGGCGAAACGATTATTATCCTCTCGTTAATTGTATTGAAATTTAATTAAAACACGAACGACGCGAGTCATTGCGTTTCCCGTTCGTGGCCGGAATCGAGTTTCCGAGGTGGTGGCAAAGAGTAGCGAGTTTATTGGTTTCTCTTAATTAAGTGGAATCAATCGGGCGACGTTGATAGCGTACACGATAGAGACCGGGAAGCAAGAAAGGCAGGAAAAAAGAACGAGAGGGAGGAAGAGTGATTACATTCATCGATTTCCCGTCACCTCGCGAGATCGCGGCAGGCACGATCCACGATCGTGTAACGCGTTTCTACGAACACTCTATAAATTCCGTGCCGTTAAGTCGATTTAAACTATTTCAATTGACGAGATACTTGGAGCCTTTGCAGGCTCTCTTCTATGAACTGCCGTTAGAGGCGACCCATCAATCTTCATTCCTGTCGATTGATCCCGAGGATAGGCGCGACCATGGCCGTCCAGCGGTTAATGGACAAAAATCAGGTGGTAAATCGTTTTCCCAGGAATCGATTTCACCCAATATTATGCAATTTTCGGCGTCCTAAATCAGGTTGCCCCACGGTTCTCGATTGTTTCGTATTTAACCGCGCAACTTTTTAATTAAAAGTTGTCGAATCGAACGGGAGAAAAGTTTGACGATTGAAAATTCCCGTTAGACCCGCGCAAACTTTTCGATAACGAACATAAAACAGGATCGATTCGAGTCAGTTTCACGCTCTACGAACGGACAAACGATCGCAGTCGATCCAAATACGATCTCGCGTGCTCGAGTTACTCGTTTCTAGGTGCAATTAAAACGGCTACCTGGAAATGAAATATTCGCACGGACACTGAGTATACCTCTTCGGCCTGTTCTATTTTTCATGGAAATCGTTTTAGGTCGGATTATCCAATCAAGGCTAATGGAAGCGATCGAGGGAGAAAAAAAAAAAAAAAAAACAAGAGGGTGGAAAAAGAATATTTTAAAGCTGACAAATACACCAGTCGGTTCCACTTATAAATCGATTGTCGTTGTTCGACGAAAAAGGAGGACTTTGGAGTTGAAGTCGCGTGTCCTCCGACGCGGGGAATTGAAATTTCCATGTTATTGTCAATCTATCAGTTCCAGGGTAACGCTAAAAAAGTATTAACGACTGCTTTCAGGGAAAACAATCAGATCATCGGTTCTTACTTGGAAATCGAAGACATAACTCTGGAGGATTACGGGGAGTACAAGTGCGAAGTGAGCAACGGCGTGGACGAGGAGATCACTTTAACCGCTCACATTTATCGACAAGGTAATACATTGAGGCTTCATCGACAGACGAAGAGAGGGGAAAAGAATCGCGAATGTATCCCCTGTGGCTAATTAACGATCCGATGTACCGATTTCAATCGGATCCGATTTAATTCTCCGCTCGTTACCAGCGTGGCCCAATTAATTCCGGCCAATTAACCGAAATTCATACACTCGTCGTGATTCGATTCGCTCTACGCTTGCGTTAAGAGCGATACAAATTTTCCTTCTCCAACATCCGCAGAAAATTTTCTGTTAAAATTTCATTTTCTTGAATTCCCTTTAGATTCGCCAAGCTCGAAGGCGCGCGGTTTCTAATCTTCTCCCTGTAATATTTGCAAAGAAAGAAAGCGTTCGCGTTCACGTTGAAGGGGACGGAAAAATAAAGAGAATATTTGTTTTTACAGAACCACAGTTCGCGCTAGGACTTCAGAATGGATCTTGGAGGAAGTCGTTCCTGGTCGGCGTGTTGGTGCTGGTTCTGCTGATCTCAGCCGGTGCCTTTTACGCTCGTTGCTGGCTACCGTTGCTTCTGCTTTGTCGCGACAAATTCGCCCCCCTCGAGGAGAATGGTAATTATCAAAACCCTTCGTCATCTCTTTTTAATCTTAACCTCTTCTCTTATCGTGTCCTTTTATCGAGAAACGTGACATCTTTCAGGCTATAAACAACGATGATGCATATTTTCTCGAACGTCAGGAATAGAAGAGGGTGTAACGAAGGGAGGACTTAAGGGGGGAGTTTTTTTTTCCTTCGTGAAAAATGTCGATTGTAAAATGAAAGGGTGTGACTTCATACTTTTGTTAAGTTATTTAAATTTTTTAGTAATTTCTTCAGTGGCGGTTGATACATCTACCCTCCAGTTTATCTAAAATCAAAAATTCTAATAATGTTTTATTTTATATATATACATATAATTATCGTCTGACCTAGAATCAACAAAAAAAAATATTTTGTGAGAAATGGTAAATGCTATTCAAAGTGAAATGTTCAATTTTACTGGGCAAGTTGTTCATACTTTTGATATTTTAAATAAATCTATTATCGTCAAACGATAATAGGACTCTTCGTCAAACTACAGTTAAAATTTCAAGTCGATTGGTCCAGTACTTTCTTCTTATTCGTGTCAATCGTCGTCCTTGTCTATCGTAAATAAGAACTGTACACGTGAGCAAAAGTATGATATAAACATATGCAAAGTTTCAAATTAGTTACACCCTTCCATTTTTCCAAAAATGTAAAACAATCGATATTTTTCACGGAAGAAAAAAGAGACTCCCGCAAATTCTTCCTATTTTCTTTTCAATTTTTTCTCGACAAACGGCTCTCTTCACGAAATCGCATTTGTTCCGGGCAAGTTTTTGAGAGGCAGACTCGCCAGCTTTTCTGACCCAGGCCGAAATTAACATATCGAATTCCCATTTCGTCCTCGGGGCTCCTCGTATCCGCTCGATGGCGAAAGGAAGCGCGCGTTCTCCGTCTGAATCACCGTAATATCACGAACCTTCCGGAGAAACGAGTGCTCTCGCTCGATGCCAGTTTACTTAATCTTCGTTTAATCCAACCTGGAACAGTCCCACGGGCGACGTTAACGAGTTTCTCCATCGTTTCTTTCCATCGCGAACCGAATCGGGCAGCGAGCAACTTTAATCTGCCCCCTTCGATGCTCCGAGTAATTAGAAACCGTCTACGCTGATAATAACGCAAATTGAAATGTTGGAATTCCCGGTTTCTACTCGATAAACATCGCGCTCATCATTTTTCCATTCGCCTTCTTGCGTCAATTGTCGCGGTTTGCCTCGTTTTATCTCGTTTTAAAGTAATTTCATTTGTTTCGCGTTAAACGCAACGGACATCCTCTCGTTTGGATTACTTCCAGCAACTGTCGCGAATTTTCCTTTAAAAGGCATAGTCGATCTTAAGGTTTCGCGTTTTCTTTGCTACACGCTGTTACGTGTAATTATCACGGCACAATTACACCTAGGTGGATCAGATTCCTTTGCCGGAGGGAGGTGGTAAATTGCGCGGTTAAATGAAAACTTGTTCGTTGAAACGTTCTAACGTAGCTTCATTAACGTCGATGCAGGATTAATTAACTTTTTTCTACCCCGAATTCTGTTTCTGAATATTCCAGGAATCGGGGATTTTATTAGCGAATGAAATTCTGTAGGCTAGAACGGTGGAATGGAGGGGAAAAAATGACGAGAGGAGAGGAGGAGGTCGATAAATCGCGAGTAGACGCGAAGACGCGAGTTACACGTGTAAACGGTAGCATGTTACAGAAGGATAGGCCGCGTGCTATGCGAACGACGAGATCTCCACGATGGGGTTACATCGAGTGCCGCGAGCAACAGCCCCGTATACGGAAGCTAGAAAATTACCACGATTACTGAGGATTCTCGGAAGCATCGACTCGACGACGTCTCCCATTAACGTTTCACGGAGATCCTTTTCTCTTTGTTCTCCTGTTAACCGATCGAGATGAAGAGAAGGGACTGACAATTTACGCGAATTCGCGTTACTCGTGACCGACTCTCCTTTATTCGAATCCACAAACAATCGGCCACTTTCACTTTGCCCCGTTTCGTCGTATACTTGCTATGAAATTGGCGATAGCTTCGTCGATGCTTTAAACAGCATCGCAAACACGGTTTCGAGTAGAAAAGCAATGGCCTAGAAACAGAGAGAAGCCTCGAAGACGAGGCTGGCACGGATTTTTATCGCTCCGTTTTCGTAAATAGGAAGCCTGCTCGCGACGATTGTTTGCCATACAGATCGTTCCCTTATCGACGTCGCCAGAAAACTACTCTTATCTCGAATGTTTTCTTGCCGCTTCCTTTTCCGTAAACGCGACTGTCGCCGCCTTTTATTAACCTTTCTGCTTCTTTTTCTTTTTCTTTTCCTTTGATTGTTAGCTTTTCCGAGATTTTTACGATTTCCGCTTCAATTTAGAATTAAAGTTGAAGAGAAACACCGTAGTTTCGCACTTTTTAATCGCAAAGTACCTACTGGACGGTGAATAGTAGAAAGGAGAACGGAGAACAGACAGGCGTGTAACACAATTGTGAATTACAGACGGCAAGGAATGCGACGCTTTGGTGTGCTACCACGAGAAGGATTCCAACCTGGTCATCGGAATAGTGATACCTACCCTGGAGTCGAGACATCGATACAAGTGCACGTCGCTTGAGCTTTCTCAGCTCAATCAGAATTGTAAGTACCGATGCGCCGCGCCGCAGTTGGGGACTTTGAATTTTCGAAGGCTTCTACTATGTCTGGGGTCAACCCCTTTTTGGGTTGCCCCTTCTGGGTTTGCCCTCACCTCACGGGCGCCAGGCTGCCCCTTCTGGGCGATATGAGTCCCACACTGCCCCGGGCCCCCTCTAGCCGAATAGTCCGACAAGGGGATAACGCATTTTCTCTTCCAACAGAAACAAAAGGCTTGTACTATGTAGAGATGAGAAGTTGACGAGCGGGACGGCACAGTCCCCACAACGCCGCAACGCTGACTTCGTACCATCTCGCTTTGTCGCGAAGCGAAATTTTTCTTCTTCGTCAGGCGACGCGATTAGTGTGTGATCGCATCGGCCAATAGCGCGCGAGGAGCTGGAATTAGCATGCGTGAGGTGTAACTTATCGACGACGCCTCATCAACTTCTCATCTCTCTATAGTACTTCTCGATCCCTCCAACGAAAAGAAAACGAGATAGCCCCTGGTCGCGGGGCTATCGATTAAAATCGAATCCTTTAGGGATGGGAGAAAGGATCGATGGGCGTTTCGGTAGAGTAGATCGATCGGTTCGACCGGGCAAAGGAGGCAAAAGGAAGGCGATTATTACCGTGAATACAAGGGGATAAAAGTGGGCGAAAGTTAACAGGGTGCAACGGGATCTAGTTTCGCGGACGCGTTTCGACCTAATCCGCGTCTGCATCTCATGAATATCAACAGTTAGGCTTGCAACGCGATAACGGCTGCTCGCCGCAAAATATTCAGACGCTAATTTCCTTCTAATTGGCAGGACAAAATTGGCCGGTGTAGGTGAGCCGACTCTCTCGGGTGTAACCAGGATTTTATTCATGTAAATTGCCGCGCACTGCCTGCCCGCCTGCCTTTGCCACCTCGATTCCAACGATGCAAAGCAACCTATACATAAATTTTCTTTCCAATCGGGCCCTAGCTACTTTTTGGTTTTTCCATTTTTGTTGCTGAAATTTTGATATTCTATGATACCTGTGGGGATCGTCGATGATCCACGATGCTTATCCGAGCATGGAATCTCTCGCGGTGATTTAACTTTGATCCCAATTAATGATTTCCTAAAATTCTGTCGCCTGTCGTTCAAAGGAAACATTGTGTTCCAGGGGGTTTGGAGATTGGACCACACGCCGCTTCAAGCCGAAGGGTCATAGTCGTCTTGAGCCCGTCCTCTTTGGGAAACACGTGGACCGAGAGCAGCGTAGGTGCTGTTCTCAAACAATTATCGTCGCTCACTACGCGAACGATAGTAATCGCTACGAAAGAACTACCAAATGCAACCACGATCGCGAAACGATCGAATCGGGGTTGCAATGATGCTGGTGAGCTGTCGCTCGATCACTTGAAGATTCTTAAGTGGGACGAGAACACCAGCCCTGTATCGGGTGGGCAAAAATTCTGGTATAAGCTTCGATTAGCGATGCCGCCTGTACGACCGATCAATTCCGACAGTGCCTGCCAATCGGTCGCCATGATTGTTCAAGCTAATGGAAAATGTGGACAACAGAAGGCACGTTCGCGAGAAAGTCTCGAGGTTCTCGTTTAATTCGCGAGAAAACCGCAAGAAAAAGAACAAGATTCGAAGAGAAAGAAAGAGTTTCGCAGAACAATTGACTTGTTTCTACTTTCACTAATTTTCGCGTTCCTCTTTTGCGTCCACGTAAGGTAACATGGTGTGAAAATAGCTCGAGAGATGCTGATCTCGAAGAACTCTCGTTGCTTTTCAAAATTTTGTGATGTTTTATAGGTGCGGTACGTTTTACGCGTTCAAATTCAAACGTTTCTCGCGCTTCTACTATCGCGATGTTTAAACATAGCTGATCGAGTTCGATAATCGAATGCGCGATCTGCCGGTTCGAGAATCGCGCATGTACAGTGTCATGGCCGCCGACCTACGCCATCGTTCAAAGCCGCGTGAAATTTTTTGCTTCTGTCGACTTCATTACCCGCGAAATGCGATTTTATACGGTAAATTGTGTTTTTCTGTTTATCTTGGCGATCGAGTTTCAACCAGTCTTGCATCGAAACAGGTGTATAGAGATGGAAGTGAACGAAAACAGATTCGACGTGTAACTTCAGTTGAACATCAACACGTTTGAGGTATAAAATTCGATTGATATTTTAGCGCCTGTTTTAATACGAATGCGATATTCAGTGGTTTTTTTTATTAATTCTCGAAAGGCTCGATACAAATTATAAAGGTACGAAACAATGCTTAGATGCGTATAAAGTTTGAGCCAGTTATTGACGAACCGCCATCGTGCGACGAAACACTTGTGAAAAATTTGTCTATTTGTAACATAATTAAATGTGAGCGACATCAATTCCGTTTCCTCGTCGAATCTCGCAAGATCGTACTCGCAAACGTCTTTTCAACGACACCGATCGTTCCTCGTAAACTCGTACTTTTCCAGGCTGTCACAAAACCGCAACTCCTATTATTTTACACGTTACGTTATAGTAAAACGAAGAAATAAGTTGTTTCTAGTGATTTTAGTAATTAAGATTGCGTCAAAAGTTTTATTCGCGCTGAGTGCAACTTTTGGGACAGCCTGTACAACATTACCGACCGTCGGTAACAAACGGAACGATCGCGTCAACCGGTGTTCCAGAGCATTCTTTTTTCTCGTGGCAGCTAATCTCGATTTCAATTTTATTTAACCAAAAATATCCTCTTTTCCCATCGCACCGTACCAATATTTTTATGCGAAATTCGAAGAATGGGGAAACGGTTAATGCGCAGTCTTCCTTCTCGCGAGCACGGCGTTTCGAGCGCAACGAAACAACGATCAGAGTCTCGTTACTCGTTGCCAGTGTTACGTAATCGATCGTTGCAAGCGAGTTTCTTTTCTCTATTTGTATATATCGGATAGATCGGTGCTCTATCGTCCTTATTTATTTAGCTAGCCGTATTATTTATACCGTTTTTTTTTTTTAGATTTTTACATTCAGCCTTTTTTCTTTTTTGTCGAATGGGTTCGGCGCACGAGTATCATGCACTTACGTTACCGGGCACACTTTTCTAAGCAAACTATCACGCTAGATTTTATTAGGGATTTGAAAGCGCATGCAAAATGAATAACAAACGTAATGTTTTATACTGTTTTGTATATACGTGTAAAGGGAAAAAATGGATATATATACATATCTGTGCGTATTATATAATATGTATATATATATGTATATCAGTTTTTGTACCGTTCTTTGAAAGGTGTGCTTATCAGTCCATCGAATACCAGAGACTTAGAAAAATGTATCTGGCGAACGTAATCCCGATAAAAATCCTGTAATTGTAATTCTAATCGTAGCGTGTAACGATTATCTGTAACAATATTGTAGCCTAACTGTTATATCCGCGTGTAATTGTACTTTAGGTGTTACAGACCGATCTGCAACGCGCGCGTTGAGCTTAATTTTTAACGTCATATATAGTAATCTCTCTTTACTGTCAGTATTACGATACACTAGTGTACTTGTCTCGCGATAATGTGTTTTGGGCGATACTCTAGTGCCCCGGGCAATTGTTGCGAGCCGAGTAAGCAGAGTATAGACATATTAGGAGGTATACTTGTTTCTTTAACGATAGTGTACAACAGTGTACGAGGTTTCTTTCTTTCATTTTATACTTTGTATATGTATAGTCGTGAATACAAAACTATGTACGGTTGGTTAGCATTTCTCGCGAAGCGAAATGTACAAAAAAAAAAAAATAAGCCAGAGCATGCCTAATGCATTAATCTTTCGTTTCTTTTTATTATAAGGCTCTACGAAAGTACCAAATGGAAAATAAAGAAAAGGCAGAGCTCTGTTTCTCTTCGCGCTGACGTCGAGGAGAGAAGAGAAATTGTTCGAGTAACCGTGAATAAACGAGAATATTTATATTTCCAGAAGACGTCAGACTGCTGTTACTTTTCTTCTTAACAAGTATGTAGATATATATATATATATATACATATATATATAGATAATATAATACATTCACTGCCGATTACGTTTATCGTGTAACCACCTGGGGTAATCGACCCCAGGTGAATTTGACAAGATCTTTAAGGGAAAAAAGACACACTGCATAGCAAGATAAATAATTCTCTGCATTTATATTTTTCATTAATAATAATTAAATTACATAGGCACTTGTACATAAGGCAATTGTTTTTGTTTTCTTTTCTTTTTTTTTTTTTTCTTTTTTTTATTTTTACAAACATTTATGCTTGTACGACAAATATGAATAGTATGAAGATATGAATTTGAAGCTTGTATAGGAAGAATTGCACTGTTTGCAAACACTATGTAATTGTTTGCATTGACAACGCTGTTCTCGTTGACTTTGCCTTACGTGTAACAGATACGACATAGTGTATCAAAAGCGTAAGACCTAGCAAACGATACAGTACAAACAATCGAAGATTTCTAATTGGTAATTCTTCTTTGAACGATTATGTACATAAAATCAAGGTACCGTCTTCGATGTTTGAATAAAAATTTGTTTCCAATATAGCGCTCGACATGTTCTACTTGTAAAGTGAAAAAATAGCCACCCGTCTTTTCGTATTCGTATAGCACCGACACGAGAGCAAGAGAAACCTAATATTGCGTATAAACATCTCAAAAATTACTTAATAGCGAGGTAAATTGTTTATCCCTACTTGTGGCACGACGTATAAAAAACAAGAAAGTACTGTGACGCCTCTTATTTAACGAGTTTATCTTGACGATTAAGTACAACACAGCGACTTTTGTCCCAGTACAAAGTTCCCGTCGATTTCATTTACAAAAAACAATGCAATAATACTGAAGGTCGAAGAGACGAAAAGAATCATGATGATAACGTATGCCTTCACTTAACTATGTAATCACCAGATTGATCACCGTACAAAAAAGATTATCGACAGAATAGATCTACTAAAAAATTGAACCTATAGAATGGGGCTTAATGCAGAGTCCAACGTAGAAATTGGCGTAATACGTTGAAAATTTATCAAAGGGCAGTGGATGTACGATTCTCGTAAGTGTAACGAGCTACTTCTTTCAATGCTTCCGCCATTGCTGGTCCAGTTTCGTGGATCATGCCCTTCAAGTATCCTGCATTCTTTTGTATCAAAACGTATGGAGCATCAAATTCCTAAGAATAAAACGAATTAATCATGTGTGATTTTGATGCACACTTGAAATATAAGACTCGACGAGGGATTAACGGTGGTACACTTACCACGGCGGTACCAGCATCCATCACTAGTATACGATCACTGTCCATCACGGTATTGAGACGATGAGCAATGGTCAACACTGTACACTTAGCAAACTTCTCGCGAATCGTCTTTTGGATCAGCTCGTCGGTTCGTGGATCTACGTTCGCTGTAGCCTCGTCCAGCACAAGGATGGGGTTATTCCTGACGATTGCACGTGCCAGACAGACGAGCTGACGTTGTCCAACGCTCAAATTGGAACCACCCTCGGTTATGTGAGCATCCAGGCCCATCTCTTTAAGCTCAACCTCGCTCAAAGCTTGCCAGAGTACGTCGTCGTTGTAGCTATCGAATGGATCTAAATTCTTTCTCAACGAGCCCGAGAACAAGAACGGTTCCTGAGGGATTATACTGATTTTTGAACGCAAATCATGAAGACCTATCTCGATAGAGTTGACACCGTCGATCTCGATAACACCATCGAGATACGCAAAACGGAAAAGCGCTGAAATTAAGGAGGATTTTCCAGCGCCAGTTCTTCCAACGATTCCAACCTTTTCTTGAGGGTAAATCACGAAATTCAGATTCTTCAACACCGGAGCCTCTGCCGGATCGTATCGCAACGCGACCTTTTTGAATTCTATTTTACCCTCTTCCGGCCAAGTATCTTGAGGTTTTTTATCTGGTGTACTCTCTAATGGTGGTTCGCTTTCCACGTTACTGAAATCATCGTTCGAATAATATTAATTGTTGAAAATTTAATGAATTTTAATCGTTAACTCACCTGTACTCCAAAACACGCTCGACGGAAGTCATTTGATTTTCTAACTCGGTACTTTGTCGCATACCCCACTGGAACATACCCGTCAACCCTATACTCTGAGTTATGGCAAGGCCAACGTTACCGCCTTGCGTTGAGACCGCAGAATCATACATTACTAAGAAACTTAAAGTGACCAAGCAGATGTAGACAACGCAGAAGAAATCCAACCAGAATGCAAACGCTCTGGATGACGCTATGAAGACGTACCACGCCGATGAATGCAAGTCTTGGTGTTGATCAAACTCCTTTGTCAGAATTTCTTCAGCTCCAAAGGCTCTTATAGTCGGCAATCCTTGCAATGTTGCGCTGAGATGCCCAAACACTGGCGATCGAGCTGGGAATAATTATCGAAGCTCTGATTAATTTTACTCCATAAAACTTTTGAAATGAAATAAAAATCTACCGAAGGTCTACTCACTAATTCCTTCGAGACGTTTCACACTGCGACTGGTTGCCAGATAAAAAACTCGAATGTAATAGAAGATCACTCCAATGATCACAGTGGGTATCATCAGCCATGGATTAGCTATACCGACCACAGTTATAATTCCGAGCAGAGACAAGCCAATTTGTACGCAATCGATTAGCGCCATTGGTAACACTTCGTCTATAGCACCCATATCCTTCGAGAATCTATTTAGGACACGTCCTGACGGGTTGGTATTGAAGAAACGCATAGTAGCGCGACTGATGCATCGGAACATTCGATCGTGCAGCTTGGTGGATGCTTTCATGCACGCCGAAAAGAATGAGAACGAACGTGTTAAAGTGATTACTATCGTGCACATGATTAAACCACTGTATAGATACATGCACACTTCGCGGCTGATGGGACCCTCCCAATTTTCTACGATTCCATTCGGTGTTTCTGTTACCTTTAAACGAATACGTGTTTATTTATAATAATTTAAAAGTGAACTGAAAAGAGAGGAAAGGAAATACTCACATATTTTTCTTCCATATTCACCCATTGAGAAATGAAAAAATCACTACCACTGGCTAATCCTTGAGCCATGACGCAGAGCAAAGCAACAACAATAATGACGCACCAATTTCCTGCTGCTCGAAAGTATCCTGAATACACTTTACCAGAAACTCTACCCTTCGAGCGAGTTTCAGCTACCTAAAGCAACAATGTACATATGAATGACTTCAATTTAATCTTCATCCGACCATACGAATGTACTTACTTCCACTGGGTCATCTTTCTCACCGATACTACTCTTCAATGAACTTAAAGACGAAATGCTAGCATTTCGAGAAGTACTTCTACTTGGTGGGCCAGATGCTGTTCGTTTTTCCTCTTCGTCGAGTGGTTGTTTCTCCATGAGTCTTCCAAAATCTATTCCCATTGCAGCAAGTTCGTCGTAATTACTAAAAAAAAAAGGAGAAGAACACCGTAAGTTTCTATACGGAAATTAACTTACATAAAACAAGGGAACAGTGGAATGGAATGAAACATACCCTTCAGCCTCTATATCACCGTCTTTTAAGACGATTATTCTATCGACATTTCGTAAGTACTGCAGCTGATGCGTAACGACGATTCTAGTTTTTCCTCTTAAATATTTTTCGATACATTCTTCGAACATGTGTTTCCCGACATGAGCGTCTACGGCGCTTAACGGATCATCAAGTAGGTACGCATCGGCCTCGGCGTATACTGCTCTGGCTAAGTTAATCCTAGCACGTTGTCCACCCGATAAACTAATTCCTCTTTCACCAACTATCGTCTTATCACCGTATGGAAACAAGGTGAAGTCTCTTTTTAATTGACACACTCTAATCACACGATCGTATCTATGCTGATCCATTTGTCTACCAAAGAGTATGTTCTGTCTAACAGAGCCAGCAAATAACCACGGTTCTTGACTAGCATACGCAATTTTTCCGTTCACCTCTATACTACCCGAAGATACGGGTAACTCCTTAAGTATTAAATTAAGCAAGCTACTTTTACCAGAACCAACTTGACCGACAACCGCTATTAATTCGCCTCGTTTTACTTTGATGGTAAGATTTTTTAGTGTGTCCTCTTGTTCATACGAAACCCACTTTGCGCTAGCATCTTTTATAGATATAATGCTATCATCTTCATTCACGGGTTTTGCACCGCTTACTTCATTGTCTACGCTATTTACGTCATTTTTGTTCTTCTCTTCGTCCTTCGACGTTTCATTGTAATCTTCGTTCTTCTCTTTTTTAATATCCATTTCTTCGTGTAACATAAATCTTTGTAAACGTCTTATGGAAACCATCAATTCAGCCATTTGCGTTATGCCTGCAATAACGACAGCTTTGTGAAGTTCAATCACCTCTTATCGATATTTGTTTATTCGTTTCTACTTACCTTGTGGAAAATAAACAGTCATGGTTTGACGTAAAATATTATAGTACGCCTGTAACATGAACACTTTTTCGGCAGTTATTTTTCGGCCATATAAAATATATGCTATTATCGTAATGAATAGGGCCATCCTTGTTGTGAACATGATAAAAGACATAATAATACCTCTGATTAAAGACATGGCTCCTATAACGCTGATTTCTCTCCTGTAATCATATGGAAGACGTTATCGTATTTGCTGATTAAAACCAAGAGAACCGTTGAAAGAATAAACAATACCTTCTTGCTCTTTCAACTAAATCACTAAACGGTTTCTCCCAAGTGTACATTTTAATTGCTTGAATACCGCTGATAATTTCGTTTGTTAATCGTACTCTTTCATCCGTCCTAATAGCGGTTTTCAATCTTAATACGGAAGACCTTTTACCCAAATAGCCTGTGCAATTAAAGAGAAGTTAAAGAGAAGTAATGAAAAAAAAAAAAATATAGAAAATAGAACAAATGATACGAATTATCGAGATTCATTACCTTGGAGAGGGATAAACATCAAGAGCACCGAAACTCCAAGAAGAGCAGGTATTTCGACTTCGTTATACATAAAATATGTAATAACCAAAGTTTCTAACGGTCCGATCCACAAATAATGTAAATGTATAATTGCTACGTCGAATCTGTTAACGTCGTTCGACAGTAGATTAACTGCCTGTCCTACTGTTGTTTCGCCTAAAGCTGTTCTTGAAAGCCTTAACGCTTTCCTGTATATTAACGTACAGCATGCCACACGCATTTTCATTCCCGTGTGAAGTACACCCATCATGTATGGATGCATAACAAATATTAATGCGCCCGAACACAATATCACACCACCTGCATACAAGTATGCATTATCTTTTGTCTCTGAGTTATTGCTGAAGTATTGTAAAAGTCGACTAAGAAATATTGGCTGCATTACCCTGTACATGAAACAATGTTGAGTTATTAATAGATCTTTGTAGATTAAATTAATAACGCAACTATAACTTTCTAACAAGTGTAACTATTGTTACAACGTTAAATGAAGTAGCAAATTTTCTTGTAAAATCGATTTAGACTTTTTCGACAAAACAATTAGGAATAATGAAGCCTCGCAACAGACAAGATAGTAGGAGGATTAGCAGGTACAGGATACAAAGGGCTTAGAGGGACTTAACAATTCGGCTGCATCTTCGCTTTCGTGAACTTGCGAATTGGATAAGTTGTGTAAACTGGATGATAATACGGTATGCACCGGCGTATGTGGAACTTTCATCTGACGGTAGGAATGAATCAGAAGATAAAGAAACAAAGGCTGTAACGGTCTGAACAGATATTAAACAGATTTTAAGATTCTATGTATAAAACTGGAAAAATAGGAGTACATCATATTCTTATTACATACCTGAAGAAAATTTCTAGTACCGCTAAAATTATTCCATAGAGTGCTAATTGACCACCAAAACATTTTAGAAGAACTTTTACTAAACTGGGTTCCTTCAACTTCTTAACATCATACTTGTTATCACTGTTTGCTTTCTCTTCGTTAAGCAACTTTTGCTTCTCATATGCACTATACTCTTTTTCCCATAGTTTTGATATCTTTTTACCAACATGACTGCTTGTGTGTTCTTTGAGGGGTCTGTATAAATCATTTATTTCTAAATCCTTGCGACAACCCACCCAAAATGTAGGCAGTGTAAATCTGTTGAGAAAAGTTAAAAATTAAAATGAATGTCGGTAAAGCGAAGAACGCTTTGAATTCAATATAAAAAATATAATAACTTTATTCTTCATTATCTCTATCAATGACTATGCCAAATATTTCAAGGTATGTATCTTATCTTTGTTTTTGAACAACTAATATCATTGGTAATTGATTGAAGATAACGAAAAAGTTCCTATGAAAAGTTTTATTCAAGTGTACTAATAGATAACAATAAACAGGTTGAAAGCTTCATTTATTTACTTGAAAGAGGAATCCAAGATAGATTTTGTTCTATTTACAGAAGGATTCTCAGTATCAGTTATCAAGATATTTTAAAAGTAATGCTTATTTATCACCATGATTTTGTGTATCAGTTGGCAGTCAATGACAAGCAAAAAAAATAGAGGAACAAAACTTATCACATTTTACAAAACTTACGCAAATGTTAAAATGCTAAGGGGATTTGCTCCTTCTCTTGGGTTCTTTTTTCTTTCTACTTTTATTTTTCCATCCATGATAGCTTATTATTCATTTACTAATATTTTATGTAAATTTCTGAAATTAGACAAAAGATTATTAAATACATATATAGTATTATATAACATTTAAAAGATACTATCTTCTTCTAAAGAAAGTTAACAAACATACAAAAGATACACTATAATCTATACATATAAGTTTCAGTGAAAATAAACATATTAATCATTGCAAAAAAAAATGTGATAATAAAATATCTTAAATTCCACAAATCCAATGAGAAAAAAAGTGCACTGAATATTCATAATTTGCATTATTTGTGGGTATAATACAGAAACAGTGTAAATATCTTTCTTTATAAATTTTGTATATTTTTCCTTCAAAGTACAAACATACATAAATAACACACACACACACACAAAAAAAAAAAAAATTATAACCACTTGATAAAGAGGAAGGTCTTTGCGACACTTGTGCCAATACATGTATATATTGAAATCAATGTATCAATATCACAGGAACTAACTTCCTTTATGATCTATAACAGAATGAGTTAGCAGCAAAAATAAAATTCATCCAGCATTGCTTCATAAGATATAGTAACTGAGTGAGTAAATAGTTAATTACCATCTTGAATAAACATTTTACTACATTGTATGTTACTTTCTGCTAACATACTCATATTACAATGAAACAAAGGCAATGCTTTTGAAATGATTAACTGATTCTTAATATCAAATAATTTAAATTCTTTGATTCATATTTTTTCATACTGCTTAGTGCTGCTATCTGTGTTTATAAAAGAAGATCTTTCCTTCACAGGCTAAATGAACATTATATTGGTGCACATTTCCTTGTCTTATTATTCAAACAGAAATATCATGAGTTTTTTCTCAAAACATAAATTCGTTCAGTTCAAACTGAACTAACAAACTGTTGGAAAGATATTTTTCATAGGAATTTTACAAGAGTAATAGTTGGTATATTATAAGAAATTTTATAATTGAAGATAAAAATGATTTATATGAAACAGTGTTTACAAAATTTTACGAACAGTAATAACGGCATATATCAAAATTAAGCGATGACTGATACAGGTGTAATCTAATCGACATGTGCTTATTTCGGGTAAAGCCATTTTTACAAATCACGATGACCGCGATCGAAGTTTTACATTTTAGATTAGCGCATGATTTCTTTCGTGCAATAGATCAATTATTTAACATGATAAATGAATAAATAATCTGTATATGATTTATATAACGTTAATAAAGAAAATACATATTTGAACCTTTCGAAATTGCGTGCAACAATCGCTCGTCACGTCTAATCGCCAACGGTAGTGATTCACCAATTAATAAAACGGCAATGTTTAATAAGACGATCTCTGTCACTCGGTTTTCTCCGACATTCGAAGCGCAATAACTTTAACGAGATTGACGCTACATTATATTAAAATCATAAATTGAAAATTATGAAATGACATGTAACGTAATGTTGACTGGTTTCTTTGTGTCACTTACAATTAATGTGGATAGTCGTTTCTACTTTCCAACACGTGAACGTTCCATTACTTTTTGATTACTCAACAATACGCTGGATGACAGACGTCCACTTAAGTAGAAGGCCGTTGCTCGACTGTGCCTTGCGCTTGACTGAACAGCGCTCCAATGTATCATTATTGGTTAACCTTAAATTAACACGTGATACTGCCAGATATCTTTGATATATCTCTACATTCTTCTTTACGCATGTTGTAATAGCTTTTTGCTTTTCACCGTGACGATCGGCACGGCATCTTCTGACGGAAAGAACATTCATTTATCATTTGTACTTTTATGATATACGATCTAAAAGCACAATCATTCGGTTACCGAAATAGTAACGAAATACTTACATAAATGTCAAATTTAGTTCTATCCAAATCTGGCTCTTATCTGCTTGTTAATTTCCTCTTTCCCGCCTTATCTCATCAAATGCCGTTAGAGGCTTACCGATTGCCGTAGGATCGATGGATAAGACATTTAATTGATAAGTAGTTTCAACCGTTTTCGTAGAGATGCCGCAATGGTCGAATTTGAAACTTTTTATGGGATATTTTACAACTGAATTGTAATTAACATTTTAATTTGTGAACCAGGGGTATAAAAATGATTAGAAATCAATATCTCGTATATAGATTTAAGATTTATTTGGTAGAGTTCATCCAATTGTTGGTAACATTTTTGTACAACCTACGGAGTTACATTCTTACCGTATATTAAAAGTTAAAGAAAAGTCAATAGAAAAGTATTAAGAGTACAGTTTAAGTACACAACGCGCTTCATTTACTGGCAGACATTGAATCAGTTTTAGTCTTACTTATACAAGATTTCCATTGAGAATCAACTAAAAAAGATATGTTTTTCACTCGCTGAAGATTGAACGGGTGTTTCCCACGGAAACAAGGTAACCAAAGGGAAATCGTACAATTACTAGGAACTGGCGTATCAATTTTCCGACACCACGGGACATATTTTTCAATTTTGCCTTTGTTTTTCAGCGACGGGTTAACATTTGGCATCTTTTACAGGAAAGCACGACGATTACATTTAATTCGTACTCCTGGTTAAAGTAATACGCTCTTTAAAAATGAAGAAAAACAAATGGCACATCGTTGTCGCGTGGATGTCTCGCAAAAAAAAAAGAAAATAGAGAATTTTTCTCTCGGTAAATATAAATAAATAGAATAATATTAATATATTAATATATAATATACATATATCTACAACATGGAGTTTCGCTTAACGTAAAAACAGGAATATTTGTTCGTAGCTTTATTTATATATTCCCTTTCAGTCGCAAGCAATTAACCGCTCGACTGTCCATTTTCGTTGAAAGTTTTTTAATATATAAAAGCGCATAACGACCAACGTGATTGAGAGAAATGAATGTCACATGGCATACAGTCAAACGGTTGACGCTTGAAACTAAGATCGTCCAAACATTTACACCCGACCTAATTAGAATCGTACATGTTATTACAATTTCATACAGCCATCAACGCACACGCAACTGTAATTTACGCAAATAGGTAGACGGGGGATTTTGTACAATACATGGATAGAGAAAAGCATTCTCGATGAGCTGTGGTGGGCTATGTAGTCAGTACGGTGCTAAGTACAAGTCCAATATTAGGTAACTTCGTTCAAAGTATTTAATGAAATTTTATAGTTAACAGATTTATCAGCTTCTCGTTAATCGCTGCATTCCAGTACACTGTTGGTAACGTTAAGTACATCGATTGAAAATAAATTAATTCCATTAGGGAATTGGATAAAATGTATAGAATTCAAATGGACCGCAAACATGTTGAAATTAGATTAAAACGAATCGACTCTCATCAGTTTACATGTTTCGCTAATATTGAAATTCTGTATCCGTGAACAACGCAGGTTTCATTGCTTGGTTGCTGGTTGAAAACACGAAGGGCAACGATTCTGCGTATCGGTTTTCGATTGAACCTCACGTAAATCGCTGACAAACTTGTGCCATAATCGTAATACGAGTTATCTTTTGTTAGACCTAAGTATTTGTGGGTTTAACCGCGATTTTATTTGATATCGTCCACGCGCTCTTCTCTCTTTCTCTCATTTACTCGCTCAGGGATTCTTTCGCTCTTTTATAACTTGCTGAACGTTACCATTCTTTAGAAATGTTTCGAAAATGTAGGATAAAATTTGTGGAAGTTTCGTTCTCGACTAAATGGATTATTCAAATCAGAGCCGTATAAATTTTGTATAGCACAGCAGTGAAATCACTTTTACTGCTTAATCTTTCATAACGTGGATTCGTAAATACAAAGGCTAAAAATCAAGGAGAATACGACCTGTTTTATCACAAATTTTACCCTCTGTTCTCGATGCCCGTTTATGTAAAATCGATTTCTTGTCGGTTTCAGCCACCTGTTACCGGATGTTCGACGTTCACCAAATCATCCAGCTCGCGCAGTCTTCTAGAAATTCATTCGCTCCGAAACAGGAAACGGCACACACCTGCAGACAACAGATTTCTATAACAGTTCAAAAGAAGATTGTGTTTTCCAAAACAGCCTGTATAATAGAAGAGAAATCTAAAACACGGACGTACCCCGTTTTCGACGTTGCACCGTTGTCAAAAGTTCAAGTGTTCTCAGGTTGATTCAGATTACTGTTCAACAGCTCGGTGTTGGCGTTGTTCGCGTTCAGCCTCTGTTCCTCTTTCAGCCTCCTCTTCTTCCGCTTGTTCTTCTTGTGCACGCAGAGGAGGCTGATGAACAAACAGAAGAGGAACGCGGCGATGCAACAGGCGACCACTATCCACGTGGTTCTCGCCTTCTCCGTTTCTATCTGAAATCGGAGAATCTCCGTGCACCGTTCGTAGAGCTCCGAGGTTTTGTTGCTGAACTCCTGCCTCGGCGAGCAACCACGTTCCTCCTCGTCCGTGCAGTTGAACACGGGACTCGAGTGAATCCCACGCGCGTTCAACCACGCGTTGAACGCGAGACACTCGCATTCGTTCGCGTCGAACTTGATCGGATTGCCGGATAGATCGAGGAGCTTCAGGGAGCAGAAAGGCGCCAGGTCCTCCGGCGAAACTGCAGCGATGCAGTTACCGGAGACGTTCAGGTGCGCTAGCGATGGTACAGGACCGAGCTGAGGTATCCTGCAGATGTTGTTCTTGGAGAGTTGCAGGAAAGTCAGAGGTGACCTTACGTCCATGCGCCTGAACACTACGTCGTCTAGCTTGTTGTCGCAGAGGTAGACCTTCCGGAGGTAAGGTAACTGGAAGAGATTCCTGGGCAGATCGCGGCATCCGTTCTTCGAGAGGTCTAAGACTTCCAAGTACTGGAGATTACTGAATGCCCCCTCGTGGATGTCCTGGATGAAATTATCGCCCAGGTATAGGTACGAGAGGGTTTTGTACGCGGCTAAGCTATCGTTGGTCAGCTTTCGTATTCTGTTCACCGATGCGTCTAAAATCTGTAGGAATTATGATTAATATTTTCAGATTCCTCTGTTATAACCAGGTTATTCGAAAATTGGTTGACCTTTACCAAAAGATGGGACGCAAATCCGGATGTGTCAGGGTCACATATTTAACACCTCCCACCCACACCATTGTGTTCCTCTCGTCAAGGGCTTTCCAATGATATATGACCTATCCGGATTTGCTTCCCACCTTTTGGTAAAGTTCAATCCGGAAGTTTCCACAACTCACTTGTATGTCTGTTTTCAGGGTGGATGGAATATCGTCGAGACCCAGGTTGCTGCAACGAACCTGAAACATCGAGTACGCCTTGCTGTACCTGCAGGTCTTCAAAGGTAGATCCTGCTCCATGATCAACGTCGGGTTAGATCCGAGGACCGTTGCTTCTGGCACGATAGCGACAACCAAGAGCAGCATCGAAAGGCCATTAACGAGAAATATGCTCATATCTGAAAACGAAATTTTTCACGCTGAAAATCGAAAACGATATCGAGAGACGTTGGCAACGTTCGTGCAGGTGCGATTTCTCGCTGCAACGTCAGGGTGATTTTTAAGCTAAATTAAAGGCACGATACTGGTTCGCGGAGAATTCGTGGCATCGTTAACGATGGAACACTGGACATCTTTCACGAGGAAAACTTGGAAAATCCGATACAACGTAGAGTCGAAGCGGTATGCGGTATGCGGCATTAAATTACAATGAATTATTCTCGTTTGACCCAGTAGGTGGTCGCTTTCGGGAATGAACAATGAACAGAGAATTTCTGATAGGTATTCTCGAGACACCGTGTCTCTCAGGGAGGTACATGAGTTTACAGATTCCGTTGAATCTTTCACTAGCTTGGAACACCTATCGAAGTCTATTTCGGTCGGGAAACTGTCCTTCGCCCGGGAGCTACTTTTAAAAGGATTCGGAAGTTTATCCTGAAATTAGAGTGACGTAAAAATTGAACTTACGAGGCTTCGTTAGAGGTAACCATATACCCATCGAATATTTCATCAAACATTAAAGAAACCGTCAAAGAAGATTTTCTGTTCGATCAGTTTGATACGAAAGAAGATTCACGACCGTCCGGGTGAGTTTCGAGGGAAGACCAAGCGAACGAGCGACGTCTGTTTATTATAGCAAGCTTTGATGAACTGCAGAGGCGGCTAAAGGTAAGCAAACGAACTATATTCTCACGAATAAACTCGCTCGAGATACATTTACCGCTTCGCGTCGCGAAATTCGAAGCCGATGATCCTTCGTGTTCTTTAACTGCGAGGTGCTTAATCCGAGTTGCTACTTTTCGCCGATTCAATTCGATTCGATTCGATTCGATTCGATTCGATTCCGCCTCGATGAAAATGCAAAGTGTTTAAAGTTTCAAATATCGCTTAGCTCGACGTGTTAGGATCGCATAAATTTTCAACAAGCTCCTGGATATCGAAGGCACTCGAGAGACGGCTGCTGCCTTTCGATTAGAAGGCAGAGTTGCTGTAGCTAAATGCTTGAAGGAAGGAACTTAAATACAGTAAAAGCTACATGCAACGTTTAAATGCCCAGAATCGACACCTCGGCTGGATATATGCAACGTCTGGGTCCCAATGTTTGTTGCATATATCCAGCTTTCACTGTACTATTTTCTGGAGAGCACCCCTTTCCACGAAGCGCAAGGTTTTTGAAACAGACTCTATACAATGTACGTGACGAAAAGGTTAACAGAGATCTGGCGGATGAAGAGAGGAACCGAAATAGACGCTGTTATCGCAAAGGTGAACGCGTTACACAGCAACAGGTCTGCGAAATCTAATGAAAGAAGAGACTAGCAACTCGATCGCGTTTATCCACGGTACTGTTAACGAAAAGGACGTAGGATCCCCTGCAATTGTACGGAACATGAAAAATTAATTATTCTAATCAAGAGGGGGATGTCGAAGCACGAAATCGTGCGAACAGTTTCGAGGATCCGGCTGGGTCAAAATTGCGAAAATTCAATTTGATTCAATTAGGAAACACCAGTTCGCTGAGACCTGTATTGTTACTGTTTCTATTGTACAAGTACTTGACTATTTGAACAGTGCGTTATCTAAACGCTTTTACCTCAACAACGCTGATAAATATTGTATAATATAGCGAGTATGTAGATACACGTTTCGCTTACGGGCGAAACTTTTCAAAAGGTAAATTGAAAACGAGCTCTCGAGTCTGTCTATAGAACGAGTTTTATAAATTTATTTTTAAACCTTCAATTTAGCTTATTTTCTTACGGTTGCTTGCTTTCCAAAGGGAGTTTCGCTTGAACTTGTAAATATTTTCCAGTAAAAGGAGATAGACTGCGAAGAAGAGAGCTTTCGATTTGTTTTCGTTAATTTCGCGACAAGCAAGTCGTTAAACCGTGACCAGAGGCAATAAATGTTCCCATTTCGTGCTCGAACCCGAGCAAAGTCTTTTCGTAAATCAGTGAATCTGCGAATCGTTTGATCCGTGATTCTCTAGCGAATTTTCGCTGCTTCACGATCTAGAAAGCAGGAATGAACGATCGCTTTACGAGCCGTTTCAACCTACCGGGTTATTCAAAAAGAGCATCGTATTCAACATCGAAGCACTTTGTATTTGAATAAACTCTCTGTTCCTTTTCATTTTTTCGGCTGCGACAATTTTGTCAATTTCAATGATCAGCCGGGTCTAGAATAATAGGAGCTTGACCTATTGGTTCATCATGATAAAAAAAAAACACGAATAAAATTGGAGAGAACGAATATTCGTATCTCGGCTAATATTCACGGTTCGGTTATCCGAAAAGGCGAATGCTTTCAACGGACTGAAACGATCGCAATCATTGCTTTGCATATTTTTTCATCACGAGCAATCCATCGGAATTTTACCTATTTTCGACATGAGACCAAAGTAATTTCGTTCTTTTTGACGGCAAAAAAAAAAAAAGGATCATCATTATCGAAAAATGTTATCAACCCTGGCCAACGAAATTAGGACCACGTACGAAAATTTCACTTTTATGGCTATAATAGTATGTCATATATGAAAATTGTCTTGGGTCGTTTAAATTATTACTAAATACATCGATAACCAGGTATTACCATAGCAATAGATTTGTTACTATTGTGATGAAAATAAAACTAGAACACCTAGAGTAAGGAGGCTAAACTCCAGATTTGGAACAGTCAATATTTTTTCCTTTTTTTTCTCAACCATTTTCGCACAAAAGTTTTGTTTTAGCTGTTAAGGTAGCAAAACACACCTAAATCGGTTTTGAGATTATTTCAAAATCTAGCCATAGGAATTGAAAAATCAAGAATTTTTACACAACTTCAAAACGTGTTCTTTCCAATGATACCAATGATGACTGCATGCTAACGTCCAGTTCCGTGCAAATCTCTGCACAAAAAAGGTAACAACGCAAAACGGAGTCAACTGGGAGAGTGAAGCCTCAGGCCCTAAGGGCCTTGTCCCTTCTGGACGGATATGAGTCCCACACTATATAATTATTTAGAATTTCAATAATTTATTTGAAGTTACCAAATACACTAGACGAACGGACAGTATGTTTGATATTGTACAGTAGTAGTGTATTATGTTAGTAGCTAATAAATTATATCATTACGATTTGAACAGGCCTTTTAATTTTACGGATAACGTGAAAAATGCTGAAAATTTGTAGTGGTCCTAATTCGATGCCCAGGGATTAGCGTCTGCCCATTCAAACTGTGCAAATTTCAGTTGAAACTCTTTTTCTTTATGAAAATCATACAGACATTCTTTATAACTTTTTCGATACGATAACTAACGATCGAACGGGTAAATGGAAGGGAATTGAAATAAAATAAAACTCGTTTAGACAGAAGCGATTCGGCTGAATGGAAACGACATCTATTTCCATTTTAACAGCTTAAGTAGATTAGAATGGATTACGTCTACTCAAGACGCATGTCGTGTCAAGATAATGTTATATAATAATTCTTTGTGGATAACGTTATCACCGCGACACGTTTGCCTTCAGTTTCGACACAATTTCAACTTGTTGATTGAGATTGCGAGGGTATTTTACAGTCATTCATTATAAGTTTCATCAGACATTTATGATATGTATGGGATGTCTGAAATTGTTACGAGAAAGATCAGGCGTTTCACTTCCGGCTGCTTTGTTCGAATCTTAAGCATCGAAGTCTCTGAAAACTTTCATCCTAGCTGGACGTTCTGACATACAGCATTTATGATCAACAAGGATTCGGTCTCTTAGAATTCATTGAACGCTCAATTTCTACTCCGAAGTATTGAAAAGCTTTTTTTTCTTTCTAAAGGAATATTGAGAGTAATTGAGCGTTAAAACGAGTCGCGAGGAAGAAATAAATTGCTGTTTGAAAGCAGACGAAAGAGTATTTCTACTTCTAAGGAAGCAGAATCTTACGAATTCAATTTTTATTCGTAAGGAAAGGTATAGGTGTATAGGTGTGCCCGTGTTCGCACGTTAAAACGCTACCGCTTCAACAAAAGCAGCAAAGCTCTCGTTTCTTCGTGCTGCTTAGTATTCACTTCCAACTCGTTGACCAACTTCTTTCGCCCTATCAAGCCGGAACACCTCGGATAAACTAAACTTTTTAATTATTCCAAGAAAAGAACATCTAAAGACGAGGTTCAGGCTACGTTCCATTAAACATGCCGCTTTAAATCAATCAAAATGACAACGCTGCGACCAAGGATCTGTTGAGAGGCGCGGCTAAAATTCGCTGGTAACAGTTAAAGGTCGTGGAAGATCGATCGGAAGCGAGATTCGCGTGGAAGGTTAAGCAGCGGTGCAATTTTAGCGTGTTGCAAGTGTAAGCGACGATCCGTCTGGAAATAAAACGTATCCGAGGAGAAAATCACCAGAAATAACAAAGCGATCGAGCGTCCCGTTCTGGAAACAAAACCTGAGACGTCGCGACGCTGTCGCGATAAAGGTTGACGGCTCGTTTTCGAAATTTAAACGTTCATAATTCTCAACGACTGTCTCAGTGTTTACCAGCTGAATGATACGCGAACAGACCAACGGAATCGCGCGTTATTTGTTTAATAACTGAACAAATGAAAATGCTGCTCGATCCAATCGCAAACAACCGTACAATTTCAATTTGCAAACAACGCTCGATGAGTTCCCGATCACGTAAATTGATATCCGAAAGAATAAAAAGCTGTGTTTTCGAATAGCCTCACCAAAATTGAGAACTCAGGTTCGGTATATAACTTAAATTTACTACAAGAAACCGATTAAAGTTGGTTTCAGAGCTAGATATCGTGGTAAGGTTAGGTTTGATTAGATTAGGTTCTGTGTATGCGCAGTATCGAATAGCGCATGCGCAGTATCGAATAGCGCATAATTGTACAAAAATTTCTTACCACGATATCTCAAAAACGGTAAGACATCCAGCTCTGAAACCAATTTTGATCAGTTTCTGGTAGTCAATTTAGGTTATATACCGAACCTGAGTTCTCAATTTTAATGGGGCCAACAAAAGCAAAGAAAAATTTATTTACGACCGGTCCATTACCTTACTCTACCAATGTAATCAAAGCTTCGGGGCTATCTTGCATTAGTCCGGCTCATTATTTCAAGCAAATTAACAAAGCGCCGTTCTACCCTCCTGTATTTGGGACGGCTAAAAGGCAATCGGTTGGAAGATCGAGCATCAACCTTGAAACACTTGCGAGACGCTCGAAGGGTCCTGAGCGATGGAACAGAAAGAAAAGGAATCAGTGTCGAAGGTCGAGAGAGAAACGCAAGGTAAACGACCGCCAGGAGGAATCGTGGTGTTTCGTCAAAAATTCAAACGCCAGCTTTGAAGCCGGTGCAAACACCGGGACCAGATATTTTCCCAGCAAACATTCGTACTTCTCGCGGCTGGCTATTAACAATTGGTTCAACCGAAGCTGTAGTTTGGAGAGAAAATAAAGGAAAAGAGAGCGAACAGGGATGGTAATCGGGAACAGGACACTATCGGGAGAAATACGAATCTTAATCCCTTTTGTTACAGCAACGAACAGCGCATAGTTTACCCTGTAACGGGTGTTCGATTAAATTCTTGCCAGTCGTTCGCGTGGAGAACATTGCTGACTTTAACAACGCAAATAACAACACTCGGTATCGTTAAAAAGGAAAGTATACCTTTGGCAAACGATCGTCCCGCTAACCAAACTTTCGACCGGATTCCTTTCCTCCGAAATTCCCACGATTATTTGCCACGTAACTGGAATATTTTCCCCGGCATAGTACGTCCGTCTAACACGGTTTCTCGTTTATTGCGTGCTCCCGAAACGAGTTGCAATTCGTGACCCTCTTGTCACCGGTTGTTTCTCGCCCCCAAAAAGACACCTGGAATGCTCGCTTTTTCTACCTTTAGCCCAGCCGAATCGATTTCCGTTAACAAACGGAAATTCGAACGACAGCTTGCAGGCCTGGTTTGTTAGCTTGAGGCTTTCCGAGCGTGAACCCTGTGTTCCCAATGTTTTTTCCAATCTGATGTTTCGGATAACGCGGTAACACGCATACCCCCCGATTGATATACAGTCCTTGACCATCGAATTAGGACCACTACAAATTTTCAGCATTTTTCACGTTATCCGTAAAATTAAAAGCCCTGTTCAAATCGTAATGATATAATTTATTAGCTACTAACATAATACACTACTAGTGTACAATATCAAACATACATTGAAATTTTAAATTATTGAATATTCTGTCGCAATCGTTTAGTGGAGGGGTTTTCGTCTCCCCGGACGCCTTGAGTTCGGGCCGGGAACCAATAAATACAAGTTTCGAAGCGCGGTATGATAAGTGTCTGGAGCAGGGACCGTTTGTTGTTAGCCTCACTGACGAGTCTGACAGACAAATCCCGAGATGAAACACTGTTTGTTTTTTCGACTGCTACAATTCTAAAGCTTTTATCAGATGATTATGCTAATTATATTTATGCTTTTGTTAAATAATTAAATTTATGATATTTGCTGCGGTTTAACTTGGACTCCAAAATCAGATATTGTACATAACATTATTAACAGATATTAATATCTTGTATTTCCATCCTTTGTTTTGATGACTGCTTGTATCCTTTCCGGTATGCTCCGTATACATTGCTTGATCACATGCTTTATATCTTCATTATTTTCCCAAATATCTGTAATTCTTATTTTCAACTCAGATAATGTGGTATTTGGACAGTTTTAAACAAGTCTTTTGAGTAGGCTACAGACAAACATTCGCACCCCACATCATTTTATTTTCATCACAATAGTAACAAATCTATTGTTATGTATACCTGGTTATCAATGTATTTAGTAATAATTTGATGGCCTAATTCCATGGCCAGGGACTGTAGTTTAGGCTCTTTGTTGTTTCTATCGTTGTACGCGAACACGATAGGTCTCATGGGTGATACATCGTTTCCAACGCAAAAGACTAACAAGGTTCGTCGAGCGAAAGATACGAGCCATGAAATATTCTGGTTCTTAATAATTGAAAGTTCGATCTTCTTATTCAAATCTTTGCGAACGCGGCAATCAGTGGCCGAGAGTAACTTTTCCTACCTGCTAGAATTCGCTTTTCTGTACGCGCTTCGTTATCTCGTAATAGAAAAGATAAACTTTTGCTCTGTAACGCGCAGAAAAATCAAACTTTTCTACGCGTATTTCTTCCTGATAACGAGCATAAGTTACTCTTATCGAGAATAATAAAAATGGTGTATGAAAAGATAAGAGGAAAGAGTGAAACAGGTTGCGCGGAACGAAATGCGTTTGCGCTTTTTGAGGGAAGACGGTGGTCGTTGACACCGGGGTGAGACGAATCTTGGAAGGGTTGAAAATTAACCCGAACGTAGAAGGAACAGAGAGGCGATTAACGCCCGGGGCAACAGCATTAGTTGCGTTTTCTAAGCAGCTTTGTTTCGCGACCTCGTTTACGGCCTCCGGAGCAGAAGAGAAGAGAAGAGAGGAGGAAACTCCGGCTACGATGACTAACGGATAATTTCATTTGACGAAGTTGAAACGGAACAACGATGGCTCCGGCTGATGGGAAGGATATTAACATAGAGAGAATGGCGGTACGTGCCGTATAACCTGGGATTCATTTCGTTTTTCCATTATTTTTAACCAGAGCTAGAGGCAGGAAGCGAACCGCGAAAAATATTCTTGTAACATTCCCGAGCTCGGACCGTTGATGAAAATCCACCTGGCTCTTTATTTCGATCTGGCATTTGCCAGCGGACCGTGGCAAAAATAAGAAGCGATTTTCCTCGAAGGAAAATAGAAAATAACTAAAGGAGATATTTATCGGAACGATCGAATCGAAGCGGGCAGTATGGTTTAGAAGCGGCGCATAATAGGGGTAGTGCAACAAAAGCGATGGGTTTGTTCCTTTTTCCACACGAGTGTATAGGGCTGGTGAAAAAGGAAGGCAACTCCTGCAGCCAGGGAAAACGAGTTAATGGCCAGTTATGAACTTTCTTCATCTAAGTTTCCCCACTACTTTTTTACGTATAAATTGAATTTTTTATCGGGCATTCCGTGCTCCTTAACGAGCATCTCTTTAGCACTTTGGTCGTAAGAAGTTTCGGGATCAGGCCGATCAGCCGTGTAAATTCCTCGAGGAAATATAAATCTCTGTCTTTTGCAATCTCTTCCATTTCTCTCTCTCTCTCTCTCTTTCTCTGTTTCTTTATTTCGAAGAACGCTAGGCGGGTCCGAAAATGGAACCCGTTCTGATCCATTCCGAGCCAAAGAAGCAAGAGTTCGCCGGGATGGATCACGGGGAAAGCTAGAGTTTCCATCGGTTCTACTCGAGAATCGCACTTGTCCGTAAGTAAGAAGGATCCTCTTTGGCCCGGAAACGAAGCAGAACGTGCTCCCTCGGTGTATCTTACTAAAAATAACAACCGCTTCTCTGCTCCGCTCGCAACGCGAGTCTCGATTTTATTTATTTGATTCTTCGGCCCGTCGACGTTGAGGACCGGCTTGGAATTACCGACATTCGTCCGGGCAACTCGATTTCCCGCCGTTTTTCGCGCGATCCTTCCCTCTTGAGAATTTTCAATTACCTTCGTTCGACGCTATTCGAAGCGAATTATGCGAGTATATTCCTGGCAAGAGAAAAAGGAACAAGCAGCACCAGAGAAGTAAACGCGATTAACTACCTAACAAACTCTACTTGTACCGTGATTTATAGACCGCCCAGTTTCTTTCGACCTGTATCGTTTAATTTCGTAAGAACACAAGCAACGGCAGCTTTCCCTTTCCTTCGGGTAGGTTATTAGAGAAACAGGGAACGATATTTCAGGAGTGGGTCAAGTTTACTGTTTCTCCTCGTTTCCGCGGCTGCTCCGACTACGTAAATTCAAAGCGTCGTCCTTGCATTCTTTTCCTTCGTTTTTACGAAACGAACCTCGAAGAAGAATTGTTGGAAAGTTTTGTAACCGAGCCTGAACTGGCAAGGGTAGCTGAAAGGGAAATACGAATGCGCGTTGAAAAGCAATTTAATTCCGTGTAAACGATTCGAACGAGATCGTCTTCTGCATTCAGGTTGCGTACCGAGGTATTCGCGTGGTCGCGTGCGACCGAGATTTATGCGTTCCAATGGTGGTCTGGCAAGCAAAGTGCATCCAGCAAGCGTTATCGCCTTCCGTGGAAGTACTTCTTAACGATTGATTGTGTCACGGTGAATCATCGACTCCCGAAATGCACAATCATCGCCGATTTTATGTAGAATTTTCGTAACGTACAGATAAAAGAAGGAAGTATAGTATAAAGTTATCCAAATTGAGTGTCATATCTTTAAATTGAAATAAAACGCAAAGTAATTATCAAAGACAATATTACTTAAATGTCCCCCTCGGCATTTTTCACCCAATTTTTCATTACATTTTCACACAAGTAGAATTCAATTTCATCAATAACGATTGTGATTTGGATTATTGGCGTAAACTTCACTTTCCATAAACGCCATAAAAAAAAATCTAATGGTGTTAAACCAGGAAGGTTAGGGAACCCGTAAATTCTAAAAATTATGAAACTTCGCATACAAGTACAGTAAAGATATTCCACGTAAAAGAAAGTTTCGAACTTTTTTCAAGGGGTAATTTCACCCCTTAAAACCGAATTATGGCACCAACCGAAAACAGGGTCGTATTACGGATGACTTACTGTACTTCTGTGCGAAGTTTCTCAATTTTTGGAATTTCCGGGTTCCCTAACCTTCCTCCTCGTGAAAAATTACTCCTTCGTTAAAGATCAAATGTATCAAATGGATAAGGACTGTTGAATGATGT